TGCTGGCCCTGCCGGCCGGGGCGTCGCCCATGCGCTGCGTGCCGGCCTGCCCGGTGGGCTACAATGCCTCGGGCGCCGGGTGCAGCCCCTGCGGGGAGCACTGTTCCAGCTGCCCCGGTCAGCCGGACACCTGCACTCTATGCGAGCGGGGCTGGCTGCTGGCCAGCCCGGACTGCGTAGCCGAGTGCCCGGCCGGGAGCTCGCCCCTGGGCGGGCTGTGCTCCACGTGCCATGGCAGCTGCGCGACGTGCTACGGCCCGGGGCCGGAGCAGTGCCTCACCTGCAAGCCGGACACCCCGCTGTACATGGATGGGCGTTGCCATGGCGCCTGCCCGGAGGGCACCTTCCCGAGCGGCCCACTGTGCGTGCCCTGTAGCATGACGTGCGCCGCGTGCGCCGGGCCCGAGGCGAACCAGTGCACGGCGTGCCCAGCTGGCCGGGCGCTGCATGCTGGGGCCTGTGTGCAGACATGCCCGGAGGGATGGTTCCCGGAGGACGGCCCCGGGGCCGGGGGCATCGTCTGCCGCCTATGCGACCCGGGCTGCCTGGCCTGCCAGGCGCCGGGGGCCTGCACCGAGTGCCCTCCGGGGGCCGTGCTCGACCCGGCGGGTCTGTGCGGGGACACCTGCCCGGAGGGGTGGCACGAGTGTGCCAGCTCCCGGCGCTGCCTCCGGTGCCCGAGCACCTGTGGCGCCTGCACCACGGCCGACGCGGCCTGCGCCGCCCGGTGCACCGCCTGCCGGAGTGGTTTCATCTTGTCGCCGGTCACGGGCACCTGCGGCGCGGCGTGCCCACCCGGCGAGTACAGCGCCGCCGGGGATGCCGTTTGTCAGCCCTGTGGGCCCAGCTGCCGGAGCTGCTTCGAGTCTGCCGACCGGTGCACCGGTTGCCTCGACGGGGTGCTGGATACGGCCACCGGCACGTGCCTGTCCGCCTGCCCGGCGCGGTCGGCCCCACTCGAGGGCGTGTGCCTGCTGTGCTCCGGCGGGTGCGAGCGCTGCGAGGCGGCGGCCACACAGCCCGGGTGCACCCTCGACCCGGCCGGGTCACTTGCCTGCCCGGAGGTGCTCGGCTGTGCGGCCTGCGAGCCCGGGCTCTTCCTGCTCGGCGGGGCGTCCTGCGTGGCCGAGTGCCCGGCCGGCACCTTCCCCGATCAGGAAGCCTCCCCATGGGCGTGTGCCGGCTGCCATGCCGAATGCAAGGCTTGCCTCGGCCCGGAGAAGGCCGACTGCCTGGATGCCTCCGGGCCGCGGTCGTCACGCATCGGCCTGGCCGTGGGCTTGGCCGTGGGCCTGCTGCTGCTGCTGATCCTGCTGATCCTCCTGGTGTTGTTCTGCGTCCGCCGGCGCACCAAGGCCGGGCCCGCCGCCCCGAAGGACCTGGACGCCGAGGACGCCACCATGCTGAACACCATCGTGGAGCTGGCCCTGCCCGGGGCCATCCTGGTGGGCGTGGACACGGACTTCCGGCCGCTGGACGAGACCCTCGGCGCCGGGACCCAAGCGAGTGTCTA